TTCTTTTAGCTTGAAGGCTTTAACAAAATCAGCAGGTATGAACGTTTAAAAGTTGTCTCTGGTAATATCACCAGGCATGGCTGAGAGAGGGTGCAGGACTATTAGAAGCAAACTGGATTTCAACCCTGCTTCTGAGAGGCAGCTCTGACTACAAAGGGCAGGCGATTCTCTGCAGTCACAGAGCAATAGAAATGCTGTGCATTCTTAGGCTCAGTTATTGTAGTTTTCCATGTGTGTACTTCATAAAAGTAAGCACTTTTATGCTCCTGTTAAAATGGAATCTCCTATTGAATTGCTTGGTGAGGGCAACTAAAGCATTATTGCCTAAGGAACTCATTAAGTGTAGATATATAGATCTCTTATCTCCATCCATGTATGTAAGTATGTATGTATGTATGTAGGTATGTACTATGTTTCTATCCTTATTTATAGAACAAAACAACAACAATGATTTAAATTAATTCCTTACCTTATTTTATTTTCGCCTTTCCACAATCTTGCAAGGTAACTAGGCCATGGAAAAAGCATTGAGTTCACCGAGACACTTGAAAGACGGCTCTACTGTTAGTAATTGCGCAACCAAGAAATGGTGCAGGGAATTCCACCCCCATCTTCATGTCCTCCTCTCTTACCTCCCTTTGCGGACTCTATTCCAGCATATTAGTTTCTAGTTGCTCCCTGAGGATATCAGGTACCTTTCCTCTGAGCTTTTGCAGTGGTTATTCCCGTTACCTGGAATGCTCTTCCCTCAGACATTTGTTTCATTCACCTCCCTTTAGCCTGTTCACATCCCACCTTCCTAGTGAGGCTTATCCTGTCCACCATTTAAACTGAACGCTGTGGTTCTGCCTCTAATCTCAATGCTCCATATGCTGCTTTATTCTCCATAACATCAGTCACTGGCTAACCTATTAGATAATTTGCATGTTTGTATCTCTGCTCCCCTACGCCTAGAATGTAGGCTCTACACAGTCAAGAATTTTGCCTTTTTTAAGTCCAGTGGAGATCCAGCAAAAAAAGCCTAGGGACAACCAGAACTGGGCACAATTCTAACTTGTGTGATTTGATACTTTAGTGACTTAGATCAGAGCCGAGCCAGTTACTGAAGAGGATCTCTTCCACTGCATTTAAGCAGCACAATAAATTCAAAGAAACTTAAACTTCCAGCAATTACAGAGCAGGTATGTGCTCTTTCTCCCTTCGTTCCTTCAGGCTCAAATCTATCCTCCCTGGGTGATGAGGGAATGTGTAAGAATGACTGGCCTAAGTCTAAATCAAATATGAAGACATACGAGAAATTTTAAACATTTCTTAAAAAAAAAAACCAAAATCATTGAGTGGTTTCCTTTGACACATCAGGGGTTATCTAGCATCTAGTAAGGTCAGAGTGGGCTGAGAGAAGAGCAAAACACAGAGGGAAGAGGCAAGGGTGAGTCACCTCATCTCTCCCTCCTTTGTACCTTACTTGCTCCTGGACTGTCATCCCTTACATTCAAAATGCAGACTGCAGACGGCAGCGCATGCAGGTAGAACATGTAGCCACTTCCACATCCCAGTCACCGTGACATGGGAAATTCTGCATCCTTAAGTGTGGCTCAACCTATCACCATTCACACAGGTTAATCCTTTCTCTACTGCTGAGTCAAAAAGAAACAAGAGTGAAGGCACATTAATAAGAACAAAGTTTTATACACATATGTGTATAAGTACACAATGTGGGAAGGAGAAAAGTCCACTGAGAAAAATAGGTTGGGGAAACCACTACAGACAGCAGTGGTCTCCTGCCGGTTCCAAGACCAGAGGAAACTGGCCAGGAGCTTGGGTCAGCCGCGTTCACGGTCACGCCAGGGAAGGCACAGTTGGTGATTGATGCAAGTTTCTTCTATTTTCCACCATTGGAAATTCTTGAATCTGGTGTTGTTCTGGAGTAGTTCTACACTGAGGCTTATGCGCCCCTCGCCCTCCAAAACACACATGTGCACAGAACAACACAAAAATACACATGTGCACACAAGGTACACACTTGTTGTATGAAGAGATCAGGTTAAGTGTCACTTAAAGGGGTTGGGCCCCTTTCTGGTGCAACAAAGTCCATTTCCAGTTATATACAATTTGCAAGGAATCTTTGGTCATTATTTGTTGAGATTCATGATGAGAGGAAGGAATTGTTTGGTGGCTCTGATGAAGCCCTAGGCAGGTTATGAAGGTGTTCTAGTCATGCCCAGAGCACAGGCACAGGTGACCAGGATAAACACAGTGCTTGCTCCTCCAGAGGAGCACCTGGCTAGGGCGAGCCCAAGTGCTGTTTAAAATTTCACTGTGGTGTCCCCCATCGCACGACCTGCACTGTGCTTAGGGGGGGCACATGCGCTGTGTGCAGATGAGGTTCCGTAAGTGTATCCAGTCATAGCAGGCGTGGGGTTCTTCCCCGGAGCACCACCTGTGTTAGGGGTAAGTGAGCTCCTCGTGTTCTTAGGGGGGGTGCTGACAGAGAGGCCTGCCATCATAGATGTGATAGTGTCCACATGTGCGACAGCTCCTGCTGGATCTGCCTTGGGTCCTCCACAGTTATTCTTCTGGGACGCACGAGTACCAGGTCCTCCCATTGTGACAATGACCTTGTCCCCTCCGTGTTTACTGACTGTCTGCTGGGCAGGTGGACCGCCGTTACTGGGAGGGACCGTGGAACCACATGTGGATGTGGCTCCAAGTACAGACACAGTGCTGCCACTTGCCACTGCGACAGAGGCAGTGTGGGCCGGCAAGCTGCAGGGGATCTGTGGGGGGTGAACGCACACGTCTCTTGACACGCGTGTGGCTCTTCCACATGGAGCGATTGGATTTTGTGTAGATGAATCCTGGGAGCGATTACGGGTCCCAGGAACAGCTGAAGATCCGTGTCTGGGAGGACCGTGGCCGTCTCCCCCTGCTCCACCCCCTGCGTTGTTGGCAGTTGGCCTCTTGCTGCTTGGATTAAAGGGGGAGGCTGCCTGATCTCCTGACTGGCACCTCTTCTCCCAGATGGCAACACATGCAGATGGGGGGTGTTTTCTCTGCCTGGATGGGCCCCCAGTACACTTACCAGTCATGGAGACTGTAGAGTCTCTACCTGTGGGCATGCTGCCGTCTCGGCCCACTGCTCCACTAACTGGCAACGTGGGTGGGCCCCCAGTGCCTGGATTTAAGGCGGAAGTAGCATGGTGTCCCAATGCTACCTGGGCCACAACAGTCCTGCTACCGGGTGGTGTCTTCTTAGATCCCGGAACCACTATGTAAGGTGGCACATGGGTGTCCCTGGACACAGGGGAGGAATACATGATGGAAGCCTGAGATGGAGACGTAGTGTCCATGGCTTCACCATCAGAAGCTGAGTGGCATTTTGCAGGGGGCTTGCCTACTGGAGTGGAGGTGACACCAGAACCCCCAAGGGACAAACTAGTGGAAACTGCAACACCTGGTGGTAAAGATGGAGGAACAGGTGGGATTGGGGGCCTGGCAGGTTGGTCAGCCAAGCCTGCTGTAGCAATAGGGACTTGCACAGTGTTCATGCTGGATGGGAGACAGTTAGCAGTCCCTGTTGCAAGTATGGAGAATGCAGGGGCAGGCAGAGGGTCCGAGCAGGCTGCTTTGATGTCTCTTCTGTCCCCCAAGATGTTGTTCCTCTGACATGTGGTATTGTTCATGCTGTTCAGGTTTTTGTCCAGAGCTATGCAAGGAAGCTTAGGAGGCGGAAGCAACTCCCCGCGGCCCCACAACGGTGGCTGTGGTGGTGGCAGCGGCAGAGAAGCTGGCATGGGTCTCTTCCATTTGCAGGCCCTGCTGCTGGCAGCTACGGGGGGCAAGGAGCTCCTTGATGATGTGTCTGAAGCCTCCTTAGTCTGTTTCTCTTTCTTGCCGACAGGCCGATGGTTTCCCCCTGACAATTCTTTGGCTGATGTCTCCTGCAGTGAGGGATAGCATGGGGCTGGGTGGGAGAGCACGGCTGCATCTGTGTGAGGCACATCTCTGGCAGCACCATGTGAGGCGGTGACTACATGGCCATGAGGGGAGGAGTGAATCTGATCCTGGTGGGTGTCCTTCCTCCGACTGTCTTCTGAAGGACCAGGACGGAGGTCCAAAGGCTCAGGGCTGCGCTGCCTGGAGCTAAGTTCACTGGCCTCCAGGGGACGAGATGTTAACTGTATATCCCCGCAGCTATGGGGGGCTCTGCTCCCACCATCCCGCCCTTTGGTCTCCACAGGTTCCCCCATCTTTCCTGTGGGTTCTTTTTGGGTCTTCTCCTCCCTCCCATTTGGGCACGAAAGTGGGAGGCCCCTGGATGGGACCGGCTCCACAGTCCCCTCTCCAGTCTCTGATGGCAAACGCTGGAGTCTTAATTTGCGCCCTGGAGGAGGGATTCTGATGGCTCTGGAGTGCCCAAACATCACTGAATTACGAGATGATAGGACAGGTTTTTTCGGAGGGTTACTCCAGTTAACCAAGAGGAGAATGCCCGGAGTGGTCCATGCAGCCTGCGGGATGGGGTACCGCCTCCTCGGCTCGATATGAAAGGTGGCCGGTAAAGGCCTACGTACCTGGTGGAAGAGCCTGCGCCCAGGGTGCAGGGCAGGTGAAGGAGCAGCGGGGTGGCCCCTGCCGGGTGGTGGATGGGGATCACGGGTGGGGCGGACCAGGGCCGGATCCCGGCCAGGCAGGGGACGGCGGCGGCGGCGGCGGAGTGGGAGATGTAGACATTTACTAAGGAGATTGCCCATAGTGAGCTCGTTGCGCGTCAAGCGACCGTGAGGTTGGAGTCTAGAGCCCCTCCGGAGCTTCCTACTCCTCTCGTGGTCTAACACGCACTGAGCCTGAGCGGCCCAGGTGATGCATCCCTGGCACACGTCACAAAGGACATGTCACAGAGAAGGGCGCGCACGCGCAGCGCGGCAAGAGACCCCAGCACAGGGCAAAGGGGAGGCCCCAGAGCCCCGCCGGTTAGCCTCCAGTGCCTGGGACTTTTGGTCGCCAGTGGCGGGGTATAGGCTGCCTGCTGCCCTTGGTCAGTGCGCCCGTTGACGTGTGTGGACAACCAGCAAGGCCACAGCGTGGGGACTGTAGGTGAGTGCTGTGGTTGTCAGGCTCCTCAGCGCCTCGGTGTTTGTCGCCAGCCCTTCCCCCAAGAAAGACGAAAGCTGCAAGGGAGTGGCCCGCTGCCCCCCTGACCCTCTCTGATTCCCTGAGAGGCTTCGAGCCAGCTGCACCTTCGCTAGGGCTGTCCAGGCTTTCAGCATCGCCCTCCAGACGGCGGCAGCTTCCAAGTGGTTGCCAAACCCTAACCCGACCGGATGCTGCGCCCCACGACCTCCCTTCCTGGCAGGCAGGTCCTTGCTTTCTTCCTTTTGAGGAATTTGGCAAAACAGCATTTACAATTTAGACCGCCCCTCAGGTCACACAAGTGGTGGTTTAGTTGGGATTCAAGCCCAGGGTAGTGACTCCCAGAGCTCTTACTCTGAACTGTGGTGCCTCCTTACCATATATGCACCACGTGTTACCATCTTTTTCTTTTTCCTAGTTCTTAGGGTACTTAGCAGGTGCCATATTTACAGTAAGGAGAGGCACTGCCCAGGACCAGGACTTCGTTGAACAAAAGCTCAAATCATAAAATAATCAGGACCACAATGGGTTCTGGTCTCAGAAGATGGAGGTCATGGACCACCAGCGTAAGTATGGTACCATCCCACACTTGTAACTGAGCCTTGCAGCCCAGAATTTCTCTTTGGTCTACTCAGAAAAATCCAAATACATAAGATTTATGTAAAGACTATATGTAAAAATAGAAGAGATTATATTCTAGATACGTTATGGTCTCCCTGGAGGAAATTCACCTGTAGGTTATTCCATATGGATTAGAAGTCAGTTTCTCTGGCCTTCTAGGAATATGTCTGGTAAGGCATCTCACTAATGTCCAGAAAGCAAGGATGTTATTCATTGTACGTTAAGAGTGGAGCAACGTATTGGATTAAAGAAAGGTCGACACAATTTGGTCACTGTGAGCATGCCAGCCAGGTTCATTCTTCACCTCACATTGTTGGCACTTAAACAGAATTCTAGAGATTCTTATGACCAAGACGGGAGAGATATGCTTGGGTGTCTGGCAAGAGAAACATGTATTCTTGTCTAGGAGCTGGAAGCTTCAGCATGAGGAAGAAGGTTTTAAAAATCTTGGACTACATTGGCTTTTCCTAGTTTAATCTCGTTTCTGTGGTTTACTTCATTGAAGTGTTTTCTTCCTCATGGGACTGATGTTGCATATCTGGGACATGACACGCATTAGTTTCAGAACCAAGAATCCTATAGATCAGCAAAAAATACATATTAAAAATTTTATATATATGTATTATATTATATATACATCTATAGACAAATAGTAAAACCTTGGATTGTGAGCAACTTGTTCTGCAAGTGTTCTGCAAGATGAGTAGACATTTCTGATAAATTTTAACTTGGTAAACGAGGGATGTCTTGCAATACAAGGAGTGCATGATGCCAAACGTCACATAATTGAGCCAATGGTTCTCTCTCTCTGTCTCTGTGAGTCTCTCTCTCTATTTCTCTGTGGCATTGTGGGTGATCATCTCCCATGCTCTGATGCTCTGTCTCAGGCCAGGGGTTTGGCAGAAATCAGTGATTTTTCAGAACACTGGAAGGTGTCCACAACTGGCACTGGTGTCTTTTTTGTCACTTCAAAGCACCTATGAGCAGTCCTTTGCTTTTCCATACAAGAGTAAGCTCAGGAATGCTTTGCCTCATTCTAGATCAGCTGCCTGCAGATATAGACCCTTTCCTCTGCTGCCTTATTGCCAGTTACATTACATAGAGCATATGACAAGAGCTTATTAATAGTGTAGTGCAGTCAACATGCGTTAGTGATAATGAAACCCATCCTACACAATAACCCTTCTCTCTTGTCTCCTTCACACCAGCCACAAAGGGTTTCAAAGGTAAGTACAGGTTAATTTGTTTATTTTTCTTTATATTTTGTATTTTCTTTATTATTTTGTGTTATAGTGCAGTATTATAATGATTTTTATATGAATATTTTTGGGTTGTGGAACAAATCATCTGAGTTTCCATTATTTATTATGGGGAAGTTGGTTTTGATACACAAGTGCTTTGGATTACAAGCATGTTTCTGGAACAAATTTTTCTCATGAACCAAGGCTTTACTGTCTATTTTTTCATATTTAAAATAGCACTGGGCATAATTCATATTTTACAAAATTAGCTCTAGTGCTCTGGTTATGAGAGCTTCTATAGTATGTTAGAGCAATTTTGGACTTTCATCCCCAACAAACTAGGGGATTGGTAGGACACAAAACGTTTTGCTCAGACTCTAATTCTCCTTGAAAAAAAAGGAGAAATATTATAAGTCCTTTCTAATCTCTCTCAGAGCAAAAATGTTTTCCAGGTAAGACATTTAACCACAAGTCCTTTGATATCATTTGAGTTCAATAAGGAAGAGTTTCTTGGCAACTTTTTCCCTGAGAGAGAGAGAGCATGAGCAGGGGAGGGTCAGAGAGAGAGGGAGGTACAGAATTTGAAAGAGGCTCCAGGCTCTGAGCTGGCTGTCAGCAAGAGCCCAATGTGGGGCTCGAACCCACGAACTCTGAGATCATGACCTGAGCCGAAGTCGGACACTTAACCGACTGAACCAACCAGGTGCCCCTCTTCTACTGCATTTAAGCAGAACAGTAAATTCAAAGAAACTGGAATTTCTAACATTTACAGAGCAAGTATGTGCTCTTTCTCCCTTTGTTCCTCCAGGCTCAAATCTATCCTCCCTGGGCGATGAGAATGTATAAGAATGACTGGCCTAAGTCTAAATTAAATATGAACACATACAAGAAAACATTTAAACATTTCTTTAAAAAAAAAACAAAATCATTGAGTGGCTTCCTTTGACACATCAGGGATATCTAGCCTCTAGTAAGATCAGGGCGGGTGAGAGAAGAGCAAAACACAGAGGGAAGAGGCAAGGGTGAGTCACCTCATCTCTCCCTCCTTTGTACCTTACTTCCTCCTGGACTGTCATCCCTTACATTCAAAATGCAGACTGCAGATGGCAGCGCATGCAGGTAGAACATGTAGCCACTTCCACATCCCAGTCACCGTGACATGGGAAATTCTGCATCCTTAAGTGTGGCTCAACCCATCACCATTCACACAGGTTAATCCTTTCTCTACTGCTGAGTCAAAAAGAAACAAGAGTGAAGGCAGATGAATAAGAACAAAGTTTTATACACATATGTGTATAAGTACACAATGTGGGAAGGAGAAAAGCCCATCGAGGCAAATAGGTTGGGGAAACCACTACAGACAGCAGTGGTCTCCTGCCGTTTCCAAGACCAGAGAAAACTGGCCAGGAGCTTGGGTCAGCCGCGTTCACGGTCACGCCAGGGAAGGCACAGTTGATGACTGATGCAACTTTCTTCTATTTTCCACCATTGGAACTTCTTGAATCTGGTGTTGTTCTGGAGTAGTTCTACACTGGGGCTCATGCGCCCCTTGCCCTCCAAAACACACACATGCACAGAAATAACAAAAATACACACGTGCACACAGTGTACACACTTGCTGTATGAAGAGATCAGGTTAAGTGTCAGTTAAAGGGGTTGGGCCCCCTTTTGGTGCAACAAAGTCCATTTCCGGTTATATACAATTTGCAGAGGAATATTTGGTCGTTATTTGTGGAGATTCATGACGAGAGGAAGGAATTGTTTGGTGGCTCTGATGAAGCCCTCGGCAGGTTATGAAGGTGCTCTAGTCATGCCCAGAGCACAGGCACAGGTGACCAGGATAAACACAGTGCTTGCTCCTCCAGAGGGGCACCTGGCTAGGGCGAGCCCAAGTGCTGTTTAAAATTTCACGGTGGTGTCCCTCATCGCACGACCTGCACTGTGCTTAGGGGGGGCACATGCGCTGTGTGCGGATGAGGGACCGTAAGTGTATCCGGTCATAGCAGGCGTGGGGTCCTTCCCCGGAGCACCACCTGTGTTAGGGATAAGTGAGCTCCCCGTGTTCTTAGAGGGGGTGCTGACAGAGAGGCCTGCCATCATAGATGTGATAGTGTCTACATCTGCGACAGCTCCTGCTGGATCTGCCTTGGGTCCTCCACAGTTATTCTTCTGGGAAGGACGAGTACCAGATCCTCCCATTGTGACAATGACCTTGTCCCCTCCATGCTTACTGACTGTCTGCTGGGCAGGTGGACTGCCGTTACTGGGAGGGACTGTGGAACTATAAGTGGGTCCAAGCACAGAGTTGGTGCCGCCGCTTGCAACTGCGACAGAGGCACTGTGGGCCGGCAAGCTGCAGGGGCTCTGTGGGGGGTGAACGCACATGTCTCTTGACACGCGTGTCTTTTCCAACATAGTGGCTCTTCCACAATGAGAGATTTGTTTTTATGTAGATGGTTCTTGCTTACGGGTCCCAGGAACAGCTGAGTCTCCATTCCTGGGAACAGCATGACCCTCTCCCACTGCCCCACCACCTGGGTTTTTGAAGGTTGGCCACCTGCTGCTTGGATTTGAGGAGGAGACTTCCATGTCTCCTGACACACCTTTCTTGTCCAGAGTAGTGGCTCTTTCCCGTGGGTCAGGTTTACTTTGTGTAGATGGGTCCCAGGTAGGTTTATGTGTACCAGGAACAGCTGAAGCTCCATCTCTGGGAACAGCATGGCCCTCTCCCACTACTACACCACCTGGGTTTTTAACGGTTGGCCCCTTGCTGCTCAGATTAAAGGAGGAGGCTGTCTGATCTGACTGGCACCTCTTCTCCAGGATGGCAACACTTTCTCAAGGGGGATGTTTTCTTTGCGTAGATGAGCCCCCAGGACACTTATAGGTCATGCAGACTGTAGAGTCTCCCCCTGCAGGCATGCTGCAGTCTCGGCCCACTGCTCCACTAACTGGATATATGGGTGGCCCCCAGTGCCTGGATTTAAGCTGGAACTAGCATGGTGTCCTAATGCTACCTGGGGCACAACAGTACTTTTACCGGGTGGTGTCTTCTCAGAAACAGGAAGCACTATGTAAAGTGGCACATGGGTGTCCCTGGACACAGGGGAGGAATAGATGAAGGAATTCATTCTCAGGAATGAAGCCTGAGAGGGAGACGTAGTGTCCATGGCTTCGCCGTCAGAAGCTGAGTGGCAGTTTGCAGGGGGCTTGCCTACTGGAGTGGAGGTGACACCAGAACCCCCAAGGGGCAAGCTAGTGGAAACTGCAACACCTGGTGGTAAAGATGGAGGAACAGATGGGATTGGGGGCCTGGCAGTTTGTTCAGCCAAGTCCGCTGTAGCAATAGGGACTTGAACAGTGTTCATGCCCGAAGACAGACAGTTAGGAGTCTCTGTTGCAAGTATGGGGAATGCAGGGGCAGGCAGAGGGTACGAGCAGTCTGCTTTGTTCTCTCTTCTGTCCCCCAAGATCTTATTCCTTTGACATTTTGTATTCTTCAAGGTGTTTAGATTTTTGTCAATAGCTGTGCAAGGAAGCTTAGGAGGTGGGGGCAACTCCCCGTGGCCCCACAACTGTGGGTGGCATGGTGGCAGCAGCAGAGAAGGTGGCATGGGTCTCTTCCATTTGCAGGGCCTGCTGCTGGCAGCTACAGGGGGCAAGGAGCTCCTTGATGAGATGCCTGAAGGCTCCTTAACCTGTTTCTCTTTCCT